AACCAGCGCCTTCTGCTATAAATGACCGATTAATAATCAGAGCAACACTTACGCCAAACTCAAATTACAAGTCTAATAAACCAAAAGCGCAGACCAAATGATTCGTACCCAGGAACTCTTGAAAAAAACACTTGTTCGTTTTATTTGATAATAATGCATAGGTGTTTGAAATTCTGACTGTAAAATGAGATAAAAATATGGGTATTACTATATAAAAAATAGTAATACCCTTATTTTTTTATATGATTTTTATCTCAATTTACAGTCAGAATTTCAAACACCTATGAATATAATGCTGTCCTCGTTAGTTGTAATTTTAATTCATATCAACAAAGGTAACTAGACAGCCTGCAGGTACCGGTGACATTTTTTGCCACATACTCCTCGGCGTGATGACTGTCTACGGTTTTTGTCGAGTACTCCATTGAAGTTGAAGGTACCGGTTGTCTACTAGTGAGACAAATGATAATAGACGAAATCGAATCGACAGTGACCATCAGACAAAACTGATTTTTTTCCCAAACAATCACCGTGTCTGCCAGACAGTTCAACTTACCTTCGGCGTCTTTATCAAGTCCATGATGTGTTCGTTGTGTAAACTCTTGGTGTCAACTTTAATCTTCAGTTATAACATTACAGACATAATATTTTCAGTCGACATCAAACCGCCCTCTTTCCGGAAGTACCAGCTGACGATTTATTTTCGTTCGGAACCCTCTAATAACCCTGATAGGTTAGTCGTAATTATTGTATGTTAATTGTACAACCAATATTTTGAGCGAATAGCGGTAATTTATATGCGTTGAACGATAGAGAGTCGCAGAGCTATGGTAAAAGCAAAGTTACCCGAATGACTTCACTAATTTATTAGGCATAATATTATAAGTAAACAGTCTACGCAATTAAGAAATATTAAAGTAGTTTTAAAATATATCATTTACATGAAATATATCTGAAATAACAACGACATCTTACATAAATAATGTCATTCACAGTATGCAGTGAAAAGTAGAAGGGATCATACAAGGCAAGCTGTAAAATATGGACTGTCTGCAGTAAAACTGTAGGACTGACAATGAATCAAAGCTTATCAGATTGAAACCTTGCTAGTTCTCGTCTAAACATAACAGGAAAACAATATCAGCCAAAGATAAGTAATAGTTCACGAAGGGTGGCACGATTTACCCAAAAGACCTGAAAAACACCCAAATCACCAAAAAACATCCAGATCAGACCACAAAAAAACACAGACGACACTTACATAATATTCAGTTAATATCATAATGTAGTAACCTAATTTTCTACAACCGCAAAATAGATTGAAATAATCAGAACCTTAAAAAAACAAGAACGAATTTAACACATCAAACAATATCCTCTTTAGAACAAACAAGGCTACCTATGTCAAATAATGTGGAACTCAAAGAGTGAGAAAAATACCATTTTATATAACAAATATTGATCTTCTGTGAATAGGCAAGCGGTAAACTGAGGTAACTCAAATATGTATAGTTAATATTACTTGCGTCACTATAACTATCCAATTAATTATCATTATGTTACATACTGTCATGTAGCAGAAATATAAATATCTATGTATATTTAATGTTTTTGTGTGTTCTTTGGGTCTTTAGGTGTTTTTTTCGGTAAATTGTGCTTCACTAATGTTAAATATTTTATTAATCATTTTTGATACAATTATCTTCTTTTGTTCATCTCCAGAAATTAAGCGGACTTTTGACACAATTCACTTTTATCATAACAAGAGGCCCATGGGCCTTAACGGTCACCTGAGTCCGACAGTATTTATTTTTGTTGTTGAAATATGTACTAATTTGAGTAAAAAATTGTTAAGTATAACGTTAACTTAAGTTTGTCAGGACCATGAGCTGATCTTTCCTAGACCGATTTTCAGTTAGATCGGCCTATTAGAACTTGTTTTTAAGTATGAAATAGGTATTTTCAAAATAGTGGCCATGGCAGCCAAATTGTATTTCTGATCGACCCGAAAAATAACAAAACTTTGTCAGAACCATGAGTCGATCATTCCTACAATGTTTCAGTTCAATAGGCCTAGCAGAACTTGACTTTAAGTTTGAAACAGTTTTTCAAAATGGCGGCCNAAAATAACAACACTTTGTCAGGCCCATGAGTCGATCATTCCTACAAAGTTTCAGTTCAATCGGCCTAGCAGAACTTGACTTTTAAGTTTGAAATAGTTTTTCAAAATGGCGGCCGTAGCGGCCATATTGGATTTCTGATCGACCCGCAAAATAACAACACTTTGTCAGGCCCATGAGTCGATTATTCCTACCAAGTTTCAGTTCAATCGGCCTAGCAGAACTTGACTTTTAAGTTTGAAATAGTTTTTCAAAATGGCGGCCGTGGCGGCCATATTGGATATCTGATCGACCCGAAAAATAACAACACTTTGTCAGGACCATGAGTCGATCATTCCTACCAAGTTTCAGTTCAAATGGCCCAGCAGAACTTGACTTTAAGTTTGAAATGTTAAATGTTAACGGACGACGCACGACGCACGACGGACGACGCACAACGACGGACGAAGACGGATAGCAATAGGTCACTTGAGCTAAAGCCCAGGTGACCTAAAAATACTACTACACTGCATCTACAAACGTTGTCAATACATCCCTGCTATCAATTTGGATTTAACACTAAAGGGAGATGATTTGAACTTAAGGAACTTGCAACTTTCAAGATTAAGCATTTTTCAACTATTTTCCTTCCGTTTTTCTACCAAAGCTGTTTATGCTTGAATCTAGAAGACACAAAAATAACACTAAATAGTATTCAGCTCTATAAGAAACGACACAAAAATACATATACCAGAAACTTGTAAAACACGTACTGTGTTTGCGAGCTACCTCCCTTCAACATGGTTTTCACCTAGAAAATCGGAAAATGTCAGTGATCAATCTACAATTAGTTTGTATGGGTCTTTTTCCACTGTATCATGGTTAAAAGACATGGGTCCCACCATGTTGAATTTCAGTATTTTCAGAAATTCTATGGGTCAAATCAAAATTGGATAGGTACAGGACTCATGTGTAGATTTATCCCTGAAATGTGTTTGCTCTTTTGGTGCAGCACTATATTCATTTCCTGTCGTTTATCTTTTCTAAAACACTTCTTGTTATGAATATTCTCAATTTTATTCCTACACAGCTCTTAAAATCTACCTGTATTTTCTGAAAGCAGTGGAAAAGTTGCTTACCTTTATCGGGACAATGCTTTGACAGGATGTTAGTACGGTATACAGGTCTTATAAGGAATTTTCTTTAGAAATGGGATAACAGCATTTATAATGTTGAATGAACATGTCTAAATCCATGTACACAAGGTTAGCTTTTTGATAGGTTTCAGGTATAAAAACTTTAACCAATTGCTAGACTGATAACCTGTCCTTTGAACATTTCAATTATTGTAATGTACATCAAAGGATCAAACTAGTGAAACTTGTTTCATCCCGTGGCCCATGCAGATCAGACATCAATTTTGCCGTGACAATTTTGTATTCCAGGAATGCAGAGAATTCAAAAATAAAATCTACAGAGATCAGAGTAGTATACAGTAAAGTATGGGGTTGATGGATATAGCAAGTTTCAAGTGTCCCGAGACCAGGTCTATTTCCCGAGACGAAGTTGAGGGAAATAGGCATGGTCAAGGGACACCAGAAACGTGCTTTATCCCTCAACCCCATACTTTAACCTTTTTATTATACCGATACACACTGGAGAGATAGTTTTAACTAGAAAATATTTGTAAACCATAAGCTGTATAGCTTCACGTCCCAACTACCCTTTTGATGGCAATGGAGCCAAATGCTTCCGAGTTCGGTAGCAAGCTCTGCCCACCTTGCGCGTTGCTTCTGAGTTCGGTAACAAGCTCCGCCCACCTCTCGCCTGATTTGCTTGGCAGAAGCACCCAAGTGTAGGTGTGTTTTAGTTCCCAGACTAACACACAGGACTAAAACAGTCGGGCAAAAGTGGGGATATATTCAATTTAACTAATTACTTTTATATTGAGTAAATAAAGTAGAGGTATAATAATCAAGTTTCACTGCATATAGTTTCTTTTCGTCAGAAAACAGACATCATGCTAAGATAATCTTTCCCTACCTTGAAGGTGTGACTGAGAGGATGAACATTTTTCTCCAGCATTATTTCAGTCATACTTTCATAAACAATAATCCAGCAAATTTGTAAAAAAAAAAAAACACTCACGTTTGGCACATAAATATTGTACAATGAAAAAATGTTTGCCCTTCAATAGTTAAATCCATTTTAGCCCAATAATAAAATTGCCTTTCACAATTAATTACTATGGATATTATGTTGTTTACAAATGGTCGCTGTAGTGATAAATTCACCCTCATCAAGGAGGGCAAAAAAGCTAAAAATTCAACTGCAGCGAACCTGGTATCTAGAACCTCCATTCCCTTTTTATGATGTCACAATTTAGCATGTACCATTTCTGCATAAAGCTATACCCCTGTAGAAGCAACAAGCTGATCTAATGGGAGACAAATCTGTGATGGGAAGGGAGACAACAAGATCGTGGTTCAAGGGAAATAGGTTGTAAATATCAGGAGCTTCTGGTCGACATATATACCTGAACTTTTTGTATCATGGATTGGTAAAAATTGAAAGGACTGTTGTCTTAATGTAATAATGTACAATACAAAAGGTGTTGCTATTAAATGGTCATGATGGTATAATACTGAAACAATAGTACAACCCGATTGTTATATACCAAAGAATTGAAAAAATCAGTACTTAGCATCTTAATTTTAGAATGTAGATCAGAGGTAAATATCTCGGTTCTTTCAGTGTAAATACATAAATAACCATGGGTGTGGGTGCATGCCTCAATAACAGTGTTTATGCTCACACTATCTCTGTTTTGACTTTTCCAATTAGCAGTGACCACTGTAGTGTCTTTATCTGCAGTAATACACAAACAACACAACACAAATCTCCTGGCTATGCACATTTTATTGACTATGGCTCAGACCTAATTTATACATAGAAACTGTTACAGTACTTGTGCCTGTAGAATAACTTAAAACATCCATTACATTAATTGGGGCTGTTGGAATATTCCCTAATATGAAAGCTTTCTTTAAAATTCAGAGGTCCATGAAAGCATATATGTTATGTTGCAAAATGAATTTGATATCCAATATGACAACATAGTTGTTAAGAACATTTCAAAACTAGTTTTGGATCTGATAATACTGTTCATGGAGGCGAAACGTTAGCACATCCACGACACACTCCACAGCATTACATATACCTGGAAATGGTTCACTTCATGAAGATTATAAAGAAAAGAAACGGGACAAAAATTTGAGAATGTATGGTATATAATTTCTCTTGGTACTTCTAAATTATTTTAAAACACTTCTGTCATCAACAAACAGTACATGTAAATTTTTCTGTAGATCAAATATTTCTTCAATGTCATGATTTTATATGGTTTTATGTAAAGTTCATCAAAGAACTGGTATTACTTTCAGCATACATATATATAAAAATATATACCAAACTAACTACTTCTAAACTGGGAAAATCACAACGCAAATCTTGCCTAAAATTCCCAGTGTTTAACCAGTACATGAACAATGGACGTTGAAATTATTCTATAGTTAATAGATATCAAAGTGTGCATAACTTAGATCAGAGAAAATCAAGTGACACTTACATACTAGGATTACAGATCAAAAAGGCATTAAAATCAGAAGAAAAAAAAATACATTCAAGATAATGGTGTATACATAAATAGACAGAGTACAGAAAGTAATAAATTATATGGAATGGACGGAATTTATTTATATTACAAATCTAGGACTATTTAGTGACAATATCCAATGAATAAGACATGTTCATTCTGTCGAATATTTCTTGCCAATACAACAATATCTAAGGCCCCATTAGCCTCAAGGCTCATGTTGAATGCTTATAAAATTCATGAAATATAAATAATCTTATACCTACAAGCAACTAAACAGATTTTGACAGTGTATGACGTTTTGTTAGTTTTTTTGACACAGTCCCAAGTCAAATAGTTCAGTCAACAATTCATTACTGAACCTTCATAACATACAATTCATCAAAATCAAATTAAACACTTTGCAATAAAACTACCAGTATCAGATCTGATAATGATGACTGCAAACCAACGCAAGGAATTTTGAGTACACTTAACAGGAATAACATTATACTATGTTTGTATCAAATGATGAGGTAATTCAACTTGCTGAAAAAGAAAAATCCAACTTATCATTGTGATCTTTTTAAAGACACATGCTACCTTATTTAAACAATTGAAGAGTTCCACTCTAATTCACCTGTACAATATTGTTCTGGATGGTCATTTACTGATGACACACTTAAAAGGTATCTAAGAATGCATCAATTGCAGCAACTGACAAACTTCAAGCAGTTCTGACTTCTTAAATAATGCTCATTACAGTATTAATAAGAAAAATGACTTCAAAAATCTCAGGTATAATATGTAAGGTAGCATATATCTCAATAACACTGAACTTGCTACCTAGATATACGGACATGTATGCTAAGTACATATATTTTTGAAAATTAGAAACTTTAAAAGATTAAAAAAATTATAACATATGTAACTTATATTCAGATCTATCACAGTTGCTTATAAAAATCTGTATCATATAATGCTGGTTGATGGAAGATAGAATTCAGTAGACAAGGGGAGGTAACTCACACAGTCCCGATGAGTACATCACCTGGTCAGATCAATATCATTAACAAACTAAATCATAATGTTCACCAACAGGTCTGCTCTTCACACACACACATATGCTATAAGGTTGAGCTCATATTGACAAAAAGGGCAAGTCCACTGCAAGATTTTAGGGATGACACTTTCATTTCAAATAAACTTACGTACCTTATTCTCCACTACTATCACACTACAGTGATGTGGTCCATTTTATTGGATCATTGTGTGTCTGTATGGGAGGAAGCCACATCTTCGGTAGACATTTGCTACACACAGCTTATAAATGTGTCGCTAACATGACCCAACACCATTGTGGTAGTGTGTTGTAGACGGCCATAAACCAACATATAACACATCATCATTGGTCCCCTCCACCAGGAGTCTCACATACAACTCCACACAAAACATTTCAAAGCTCCAGATTCTCTTCATGCCATGGCTAGCATGTGATTTGCAAGCACTTATATGACTAAGATCAGGTCTCAATATCACAGATATCATCTAAAATGGATCTCATTTGGTTATGTCGATCTTTCCGCAGTGGATTGTGAAAATGCATGAGGATGTAAACAATTAACGGCATCAGGTCTACTTTATAATCACACCCAAACTTCATTTAACCTCCATAAATCTAACATCAATGATTGAAAATTGATAGTTTGTAACTGGAAAGTCAATCTAACTGGAGTTGGACAGACTGGAATATTTGTATCACTTTGCTATAGTTTTTGCTGCACTTTCATTTTGTAATATTATAATTTGGAGTCATACAGAAAGGAGGGGAATATCTAACTTACATATGTACTCAACGTAGAGCACAACCTTCATTTTCAATCAATTCCACTACAGAACATACCACACCATTAATTATTTACTGGCTGAAGATTGTACAAAATATGAAAAAGAATGACAATGTTTCTCACAGGGTGTACAGGCCGCAGACATTCTGTGTACTATTATACTACAACCAATTAAGTTTCTTAATCATTACTTTTCTTATACAAAATATTTGATATAACGAAAGAGAAAAAAACCTTAAAATTACTATGCTTTTGTGATATTTGTATCTATGACGTCTGGCTAATTTTCCCATTCTTTGTCGGTGTTGATGTTGATACAATGTATTACCATCATTACATATCATTAAAGTGATCCAGTCATCACAGCATCAATTAGCCACTTAGCGTCCATCTAGGATCAGGAATAGTCCTGCCCAAGGCCTTTAAGTGAAGTTTCTAATGGATCATCTAGGTAGCTAGGACGCTCAGGTGTGAGATTGCGCCTTCCCGTCGAATTGCGGAACGATTCAGGACTCTGGCTCCTGTCAGAAGAATAACCACATACAATCATATCAGAACACTAAAGGAATTAGGAACGCAGTTTCAAATAGAAATTCCTATTTTGTCATTAAAGAAAATATGTATTAACTCATAAATAAATTAATTAATATGATAGTTGATTTTCTGGTTGATCTACACAAGATTAAATATATGATAATACAAAATAACAATTTGTAAAAAAGATTGAAAAAAAAATAACAAAAATAATTTCCACAATTTAAAAACTTGTTTTAGTGCTGGTTCAGCATTTCAAAAAATTGAAATAATTTGAGTGTAGAACTGGTAGCAAGCTGTTAATATCACTAACTACTATCAGTTCTATTAGAAGTTGTCAGCTCATGATTACACATTATTAACCACACACACTATAGGATAATGACCTTCTAGGGCTGGGAGACCTTGACCTTGACCTTGACCTTGAAGATGTCAGACTATTAAGGGTTGTGGTTTTTGAATAAGAATAGGAAGCTGAGTATTCCATTGTAGGTATTGGGGGTGTCAGGCCGTGTCTCCTCAGCTCCTGTATGGCTCTCTCTCTGTAAATCAAGATAGCAAACAATTAGTCGCGTTCACTCCGTTAAGTTAGTACTTAGCACAACATTATATCTTGACTTCACCTTTAGACAACTTTTTTTCCAATGTATATTCACAATTTGGTTTCTAAATTTTTGAAAATAAAAACAAAACTTTCAACCAATTTTCAAAACAAACAAAATATTTTAGAAAGTCATTAAAAAGGACAATTTTTAAGTAAATTTTAATTTAAATGAAATATTGAAATATTTCTTACTTTACCACTTGTACCAAACAAACCTCAATGAAAGATTTTGTTCAGTTGTAGACAAGGTTTTTTCCAAATGTTATTTTTCTTAGATTTGCCTGTATTTTCCTGGGAAAATTCATTGAGTACAAATTAACAAGGCAACGTCTGTTTGATACTCCAAATAAAACTGGGAAACCAAATAGGTTGACATTGAGCTAGCATGTCTCTTCTATCACTGTACCAGTTGACTGCTGCTCTCTTAGAATCCTAAGTTATCATGTGTGCCAGCATTCATTTTTTTTTTTTTTTAGAAATGAAAAATGTTATTACATTAAGCATGCATCATCCTTTAAAGTTGTTACAGGGTTATATTTATTTATTTTTTAAAGTAAAGAGTGCTATGAAATTAATTCTATTACTTTCACTAAAGCATGTCCAATATATCCACCTTACAAGAAATAACTAGGAACCTTCATACTGTGCAAAAATCAAAATCACAGTTAGTGTGAGGGTAGGTTATTTGGGTAAATATGGCTCTTTATAATGCCTTAGTGTGAGGGTAGGTTATTTGGGTAAATATGGCTCTATATAATGCCTTAGTGTGAGGGAAATCGGTTATAGTAAGTAAGGCTACCCGATGTATAATCCCAGGGTAGTATCCATTATAAGACCATAGGATTAACATTGTAAGTACCGTTCAAACTTCTCACTGGTAAGCGACCTCCTAAGGCGCTCTACATCTCCTTCCAGCTCCACATTCCTGGTTCGGAGACTGGCAATCTCACGACCTGAGCTTTGACTGGAACAAAGAATACAAGCATGAGCGCATATTTCAGACAAGGAAAAAAGGTAGTGGCTTTTGTGTGTTCATGTTCTTTTTGCAACAACTTGAATATAGAAATTGTAAGTTTGTAAAGATTTCTAAACCAGCTGTTTTAAGTTGCTATTTCTAAATGTGAATAGTTATTGCATTATTGAACAGTTTTATTTCAGTGAAAAAAAATATTCTTGCAGAATGGAAGAGAATTTAATTAGAACAGTATGGGTGGTAAGCTGATCAACGACATAACATCTTTATCAATTTGATGGACAATGAGATTGCTCACCTTTCACATATACTTCATACATGAATAACCCTTACCATGTCACTCTACCTTTCCATATACTTACATCTTGCTCTCATTGAGAGAGAGCCTGTCCCTCAGCATCTGTATCTCGGCACATTTCTCCTGAGTGGCCAGCTGTGACTGGAACTCCTTCTCCCTGTTGGACTGTAGAATTCCCTCCAGACTCTTCACCGACGTCCTCTCTGATGTCATCTGGCTCTTCAGCAGCTCGGTCTCTTGACGCATGTCCTCCATAATTGTCTGTAGCTACAAGTGGAAAAGGTTTATCAGATAGCCGTATCTAAATTAACTATAACAGAAGGCATTTTTGGTTTTATTTAATAAACACACAATTCAGGTGTCAGCCTTAATTACTGTATAGGATCCCACATGTCACTTACAACATTTCCTAATGGTGTTTTTTTTGTAATATCAACCTTAATTTCTGTAATATATCATTATTACATGTATCAACCGTACATGTTCTTACAAATGAAATGTTAGTGGTTGTGTTTAACATGTTTAACCGTGATGGAGACAGACCGCTGGATACAGCCTCCAAAGTCCCATGGTGCTAACCACACTGACGGGATCCCTACCTGCTAACCACACTGACGGGATCCCTACCTGCTCTTTGTCCAGACTGGCGGAGGTAAGCTGGCGTTGGAGGGAGTCTTTTGTAGACTCAAGTTTGGCACACAGCTCCCTGACAGCAGCCAAATCAACCAGAAGGTTCTGTTTATCCTCTTCTGCATGACGCAGGTTTTCCTCCAGGTTTGCCACGGATCTTGTGAGGCTGGAAATCTGCAACTCATATGCCTGCTGGGCGTTCAAGTGCTGGAACATAGACGTTGATAATACATATACTGGCATCAATTATATACTGTATATATAATATATGGGCAAAGAAGTAATAATGACAGTGCAGACAAAGAAATTTGTCAAATTTTCAGGCCACTCTGCCCGTTTATCAAGACAGGAAAATGAACATTTACATTTCACAACATAAAACAGAGAAAAACAGTCACCATGAGACAATAATACAATACAAAATGCATAAACAAACAGAAGTTACTTATATAAAATATGCTATTGTAATTGCATATCCCCTCGGTTAGCTTGTAACCGAAGGCTAATTATAGTAAATAATTCATCTTGAATATGTGAGGTCAAGTGAATTTATTCTAAAAATCTCAACGAATGTAGTGAGAAAAATCTTATATATATAATATATTAAACATATTACAATCAAGCTTACAACCCCCCAGATCTGAGATTATGATAATATAACAAACTCTAGTGTAGGTATATAAATTTTTCACAAGGAGAAGGTATCGCACAATTCTGTTTATGAAATCAGGATATGAGAATGACCAATCATCACAATGAAAGATATTTTGTTATTGTACATGTTAATTGACACGAATAAAAAATGGTTTAAACTAAATCAGGAGAAATTCTTGCTTGGTTTTGCACATAACGTTTATACGATAAATACAAAAAGAATTAATAATTGAGATGATTCAACTTTATTTCAACTTTTCTTTAATTGATGGAGTATCCTCAAACTGACAAAAACATTCTTTCACAAAATTATGTTTACCTCTTGAATTTCACGTTCTATATTATCCAGCCTGTCCCTGACACGTCTTAGTTCAGAGTCCTTTGTCATGATCTCCAGTCGAAGGTTAGAGCCCTCGCTCTCTAGCTGGTGGGTGGATGTCTGGTACTGCTCTGCCTCCACAGATAGAGCCCGGTACTGGTCAAGGAGGTCAGTCCGCTCTTGTTCCTGCACAGACAAACAATACAGGACGATATAGTGCCTTGTCATACTTCAAACGTTTGTCCAGCAGACTTTTACTATAATGATGGAGGCTGCATGTTTTAAAAGTGAAATTAAATATTTAAAGCACATCTGCTGCCATAGAGTAATGCAAGCAGCATTGCAACTCATGTCATTTCTGACAATTTCAGTCATTATGTCATAAGAGGAATTCTATCAAAACCATATTACTAACACCACGTTGGTGTTATATAACACTATGCCCCAGTGTTGAAACCATATTTCCTGTAATTTGGTTATCAAATACAATTAACTTTGATATTTTTTCTTATATTTGTTTTTAATTTTGTTTTTTATCTAAGAAATGGCATGCTCCAGTTTCACACATAGTGCTTCAAATGCTCTTATTGATAGCCAAGATAAGCATTTATATACATATTTTTCACCTTTTTGGGGCAAAACTTAAAGTTTACCATTTAGCAGTACAAGAACTAAATGTGTCGCCTGCCTCGGCTTAGGTGAAATGATGACTGAACACACTTAACCCATGATGAAGGAATGGAATGTACACATATATTTACTGATGTATTATTAATCACATCACAGCAGCATGGAAACTATGTGATTTTTCATGAAATAAAGGATTGCCACTGGTGGGCATATTGATTTTCAGACTTGGGTCAAATCTAACTTAAACAGGTAATTGACATCATAGATATGTGTAGAAAGTTTCATGAAAATCAAACATATTCCTTCAAGAGCTATCATATGGAAACCATTTGTGAGGACAACACCCACTGATGCCGATTGTGTGATCCTCTTGATGTTACTTTTGCTTTGCAAGCAACACAGAAGCCAGTACAGTATATTATGGTTTTGGTGTCTCATGTGTCAGCTGTCACTTTTAGGTTCAGATTAAATCCTGTTACAAATATCAAGGTTTTACTATACATGATGACACTACACCCTCTACAAGCAGAGCCTAATACGAGTCAGAAGAACGAATAACTACTTTGTTGGAAAGGTGTTCCTCTGTACGTTTGACCTCCAGCATGTAATCCTGAGCCTGACCCTTCAGAGACTCCTTCTCATCCAGGGTGTCCTGTAACTCTTGGTTTAATTTCTGTAAAAAGAAGGGAAGAACATTAGCTAACTCCTACTTGCCAAATTTTACTGGACAATCATTCTTATTCAAATCAATTTATCAACTGATCAACATCATGGCTTGGCCTGAACTGACCTGGTTTTCTCTCGTCATGATGGCAAGATCATCCTGCAGACGCCTATTCTCACGAAGCGCAATGTCCTTGCTACGACTTGACTCACTTAAGTCCTCTCCTGTACAGTCCAGCTGGCGACGCATGCTCTTCAACTCACGATCCTTCATATTGTGGCTCTCATTGGCATGTCTGGGGAGAAAATGTTACATGTAAACAGTTCAGTAGTACTGCAATAGAAAACTCTAATCTAGAGAAAAATTATGAACTTCAAGAAAATAAAAATAGCTCACAACTTCAACTAAGTATCGACATTAATCTTCAAATTGTTGAAGTTGGTCAGTACTGATCTGTAGAAGGTTAACCAGTAGCTATATTAGTGTGTATCTATGTTTATTCATCAATACATATCGGTGAAAGTATACATAGTTTATACTCACTCTCTCTGAGCCTCAAGCTCACTGACCCGTATCTTCAGATCACCTATCAATTTCTCCTGTAAAACAAATATAGGATTACTTATAACACACTTCATTCATGACTTAAACACAATTATCATAAATAAATTAGTTATTCATTCTTCCACATCCTTAGTATATTCAATTTTTACCTATTTCAGATAAGATTAACAACTTCCTGTAACAGCTAATTTTAACCTTCCAACTAAAACCGTGTGTGACAGAGCTGTACCTTGTGTAAGATGTCGTCCGTGAGTCTGGCCATCCGTTCCGTCTTGTCATCCACTGCATGCTGAAGCGAATCCTTCTCGCGGTCCAGTGCACTGATGGTGGTTCTCAGTTGGGCAATTTCCTCACGTGATAGCTGGTTTGAGCGGGACAACTCTGAGTTGCGATCCTCGACTTCGGCATTACGGTTCCCCTGTAAGTGGAGATTCTTTTCGTTGTTGTTGAGGCGTTTTTGTGTCTCCTCTAGTGACTTTTCAGTTTCCTCTGCCAACATCCTGATGTGGAAACAAACAGTTGTAATTTAATAAATACAACAACATCCTAGAGTTCAAATATAAGAAAACAAATATAGCAATACCCTAGAGTTTAAAAAGAAAAATGTGTTTAAAGTAAAGGAAAAATTAAACTGAGTCAATTTTTAATTAATGCTACATATTTTTGCATATTTAATTTTCTGTCTCTGCAGAATAGATCAAAACAATCTGACAAGTGCCCTTAGATGAACATGTTGTTACTGATATGTTATAAATATCAGACACAGACCTTTGACCTTTACATTGTGTCAAGGGTACATGAGACAATAGCATAACAATTGTAGACAAGCATTACAGTGACAGGACTTACTTCATCTGTGCCGCAGTGGCACGTGACTGTGAAGCGTCATCCTGGGCCTGCGTCAGTCGAATGGCCTGGTCTCGCACCTGTTCTTCGTAGCTCCTTAGGTCCTCCTTTATGGTGGATATCCGCAGAATAAACTCCCTTTTCTCAACATCCACCTGATAAGTAGTCAACTTTCTGTCAGTATTCCACAACACTAACCTTTTTCTAAATTTACACATTTTCCATTTTTATCAGAATGCAGTCCTGCAAGTATTGGTAGTCTAAGCAAATATCATTACCCTATAATTTAGACTACAGCTTCATACAAAGTTGTTTGTGTAACTCCACCATCCACAATTTACTTTTTCCATCCCCAGCCTTGACTATACATTCTAGCAATCATTTCAGACCCAATCAGCTACATGATAATAATAATAGTGCCTCCCTGGCATAATGCCTAAAAGAGGTTTTAATGCTTAAAGGTGCCAGTATGATAAGATGTTACTGCCAAATGATGGCAGTATAGTGTTTTTCTGTACAATGGTCGATCATTGTGACTGTATTCAGTCAGTGAAAATTTTCACCCCCTGTTCTTTATAAACAAAATTCATCATGCATGAGTTTTATAGCCATCATACGTTTTTTAGTAATGCTGCCTAAATATTATTTTCACCTGTGTCCTTTCATTGATTCAAGGGAGACAATAAAACAGGGGCAAATATTTTACAGTATACTGTATTACTGGAAATAAAGCTCACATACCCAGTACATTTAGGTAAATGACAGAATAGAACTTACTATCACTGTGTTTAGTTTGGGAGTATCTCCCTGTGACACAAATTCTGAACTACAAAAATGTTAACCTTGAGTGAAGATTTATGTCTATATCACAAAGGTAAAATGATCTATTAAGCACATTTCCTCAGCAAGGAGTACTTACAGTGGAGATGGTAGACTCTAGATCTTCAATCCTCTGCTCAAGCTTGGCTCGATCAGAAAGCGACGTCTCTGTGGCAATCTGAAACAGTTTCATTGTAAATTGTAATGAAAGGGATTAATTTTTACATAAAAACAGAAAACAGAAAATACCCTTGAAAACAACATTTACCCGGTATTATCCTTAAAACTTGAATAAATTCAAGGATGTCATGATACCTTAATCAAATTCCCTGTTTTTAGAGGGAAACTCCTTATTTTTTGTTTAGAATGGACAAAATCCTGATCGGACATTCACTCCATAACAGGGTTAAAAAGTCTGAGATATGTATTTGTGTTGTAACCTTGAGATAATCCCACTGAACAAGCATCCCTGTTCTAGCATCACTCAACACATACACTTCCCTCTATCAGACTTTTAGAAACCGCAATAAATACAAAAGACTTGACCACAAATGTGATAGAATTAACAGATTGAAGGACATTTTGTGGCAAAGGGAGTTAACTTGGACACAGTATAATTGGTAAAGTCTTGTACACAGTCAAAACTAATTTATCTGGGCTATGTTGATCAATATAATCCACAATGCAGACTCACTCATCGTCGAAAGAGATTTCCACAATTCATAGTATACAAGTTAATCTAGAAATTCCCATTCTAGATTTGGAAGAGTTTTAACAGGAACAGATGGTCACATTCCTTATAGCAGAGGCACTTGGAAATATAAGAAACCTTGGTAACATATACATCTTCTATTCAAAAATTCTTCTATCCTGATTTTTTTTTCTGGGGATCAAAGTGTCCAGATGAACGTTTGACTGTATACTTAAGCTTGACATCTTACACTTTTATTCCCTTGTGTATCTGTACCTGTCAGGTTTACAGGTTATAACCCACTGACCTCCACCCCTGACCTCTAACCTCTCACCTTTAGCCTTTCCCTCAGACTGTCTCTTTCTGTTGTCATGCGCCTGAGGTCAGAGACTGCGTCGTCACGCTCACATTCCACGCGTCTTAGTACTGCCTGTGCTGCTAGAGATGTTTTTGGAGATTTTGGTGAGCGCACCATTTCCCTCCTCACCCTGTGGAGCTCATCTTTAGACTGAAAACATAATAAGATATGACAGTTAGACGTTTAAGTACAAGGGATGTTTGTTTCTAGCCAGTTTCCTCGTCATTTCACAGGAAAAATATTATTTCAAAACCTATATAAATTGAATGTTTGACTGCGAACACCCAAAATGATACTAACTTCTTCATACATAGTGTTGAGCTTGTCCCGTTCAGCGGTCAATACCTTCACATTGGCCTGGATCTACAAAATAACATGTAAAAACAAGGTCAAGAATGTACTGGACAAGAAATCTGTCAAATAAACTATAACAGCATCAAAATACACTAACCTTTGTTTACCTTACATTTTAAATTAACAGATAAATATGTAAATCAGTGAGAAGATTTTTAGAATCTTGAGTCATTTTTTTATTATTGAATGCAATGCATGGCAGTTGCCTAATTCTAACAATACTCATACTATGTTGTCACTGATTAAATTTCGATATATTTTAAAGACTTTTTTCCTAATTTTCTTTCAAAAAGTATTGATATTTACCTCTGCCATGTGACGTTCAAATTTATCTAATAATGCCCGCATCTCATCTCTCTCGCGCACCAACTTGGATACTTCAAGGTCATCTGACAATCCCTGTAACACAGTAACAAGCATTGGTCAGTTTAAACAGTAAGTAACTAGTAATTTCATGGGTCACTTTACACAAAAAGAAGAGCAGAAGCACTATTGTTCATAATAGGGACAGAACTTCTACTCTGTTAACTTTTGGAAGGGGCTTAAAGTATGCTTTATATTTTTGCATTGTGTGTTTGGTTTACCCGCAACAACATTCAGGAAATGCCATTGATATAGTTAATGCATTAGGTAACAAGAAACAATACTGGTCACTTCTAAACAATAAGCTATAAGGAACATTATTGGCTAGTCTATAATTGCATGTTGAGTCAGTAGATCTCTAAGTTGTGAGTTGGTAGGGTGTTGGGGGGTGTCTACCTACCTTTGTGGGTGTGGCTCTGGCCGAGGAGGAAGACTTTTTGAGTGCCTTGAGGACCTCATATTCTTTCTTGTAGTAGTCCTTTTCCTCCTCCAGGACCCGGAGGATCGTCTCATACTGAGCCACTGTCTGTAACAACCAACATAACATATGGTACTCAAATGTGCATTCAGATTTAAATGTACATAAAAGCATTAACTAATCATGCAAGATAAAAGAAAATCATTTCTATGTTTCTGAAATGAAGAACTGACATATTCATAATACTGGACAAATTATAAAAATCCATTTTTTTTTTAAATTTTCTTAAATTCTACACAATTTTACATTCCTTAATAAATACATTTACTACACAATTTTGAAAACATCACATTACTTTCTTTTCCCTTTACGGTATATACATTATCAGTAAAAACTTCTGTAAACATCAAATACACCCTGAAAGTGTGAAATTTTACCTGTTTGCCAGACTTGGATGAGACCTCTCTGACAGGGCTGGCAGAACGGGAAGAGGTGCGAGAATGGGATGGGCTACGTCCTCGTGATGGAATCTCGCCGCGTAACATTTTCTGGAGCGCGTCTGATTGATCCCGGTAATAGTTCCTCTCTTCCTCAATGCTGCGTATGAACGCATCCAGTTTGCTGGGTGTCTTGGTCTTCTTGCCTCCAACACCAGGACCATTCTTCCTCTTGAGTTTTTCGATTTCCAGTACTAATTCCTTCTCTGTACAAGGTCAATAGAGAGTACATTTTAACTTATTACAAGTAACACCTAACAAACATACAAACATACACCTTTCTGCATCTCTTGGCTTACAGTGCAATAGTTAGTGGACCGTTTGAAGCTATAAATGTTTCCTTACTTTGTTTTAACATATGAAAAGGAAAATGAGTTTCAACGCCCTCTAGTGAAGTTCTGTGTACCCAGTTGATGGATTCCTAATGGAATTCACTAGTCTGGCCATGAGAGTTATCACTAGTCTGGCCATGAGAGTAACAGAAACTGTACAATGCTCTGATGATGGCCAACCTTGTGGATTGAAACCTGTAAACTGGACTAAATTTTCCAGGACTCCCCATTTGATGTTGTCTGGTCATCTCTTCTTCTGGATTTGTTTTTACAGATTCAGATGCCTCCCTCATCTTCACCCTCAATATCTTAGTGTTGTGTTTTAACAGATTCAGACGCCTCCCTCATCTTCACCCTCAATATCTTAGAGTTGTGTTTCAACAGATTCAGACGCCTTCCTCATCTTCACCCTCAATATCTTAGTGTTGTGTTTTTTGACAATAGACGGTGTTCCCATTACACTAAATAAACACTTCTTGCCTGTCTCCCGGATGTGTAAGTGTTCTACTTACCATTTGACATAAGTTTATTAACACGGTGGCTCAGTCGCTTCTTGTCTTCAGAGACACGATCTAGCAATTCCTCCAGGCGCAGCAGGTCACCATTCTTTATGGCAAGTTGTGCCTTGGTATCATTGAAGTCCTTGGTAATTCGTTGGGCCTCCTATAAATCAATCACCATGGTTACTAATATTCAAAAACTAATGAAGCTAAAGCAACAGTTGTGTATAACATGCTGTGTAACTGACACTGAGTCGTGAGTTAAGCACTGGCTTGTTCATGTACACAGGTGGTTTCTGAACAGGGCTCACAGTGGATTTTGTAAAAGTATTGCAGTTTAATCTTGTATTCAAAATAAAAATTAAAAATAGTCAGTTGCCTTTTCTCTCTTTTCATTTCAAAGTCTTGTTCTTATATTTGTGTATATATGTTTTTTTCTTTCTAACAAAATCCCTGAATCTGAATTATGATCTTTAACATTGTACCTTCATTAATGTAAATAATCTTAAAGTGTTTTGTATTTATGTTTTGCTAATGAAAAATAATGTCTAAAAAATATCTAGACACCATGACATAAAATTCCGATTAGTTCTAATTACACTTCCAGTCACAAGCTTTGAACACTGTGATGATTTCTATGGCTAGGCACACTGTTTATTACATTAGGTTAGATACCTTGTGAAAATCAATATTTCTGAAATATATATGCTTGTTTAAAATCAGAGTTAGAAGAATGCCCTGACACTTTTTACATGCTATTCTTTATTATTTGACATGTGTCTACTTACTGCCTTGTACTGAGCCAAGTTCAGGTCTAGGTCTTCTAGTTCATGTCTCGACTTTTCTAGTTCATCCTGCCAAAGGAAATCAAAAGACGTTATGTTTCACATTTAAAACCAAACCACTTGGAGTTAGATTGGTTAGGTTACAAAAGAATAAAGTTTTTGATATTTCGATTATTGACCAAAAATATGTTGTATACTGGAAAATGTTGGCAGCCCGGTCAAATCTTTGCCCTTCACTGGTAAAATCCCAGTGTTATCACAGTATTTCATCCTTCACAGATACTAATCGACTGATGTACTTCCTCACGATAAACTTATTCTCATTACAGGGAAGCAAAAACAAAAAGTGAAAAACTGTGGCAGACATTTCAAAGTCCTCTCAAACAATTTAGTATCAATACCCAGTGAAAATGATGTCATGGATTGAGGAAATAACATGACATGATAGTGACTGGTAGGTTTAATGGATTTTGTTTCCTATAAATAGATTTGGCTATAAACACAAAATATCAGCCCTGTGATATTAAACAATTATACTGCACATAAGTCTTTTCCAAATGACCGAATTAAATTTGTACTAATACAATGTACCTTATTTAGACACTGTATTTAATCTATAACTATTGACCGCAACAATAAAAGTTTATACATTCATTTTTTCACTGCACATTCTCTTACCTTTGCCTCGCCCATTTCACGATCTGCTGTTTTGACAACATCCTCTTTGTCTACTTGAAGACGTTTGGCCATCAGGTCAACATCCTTGAGGTCATACTCCAATTCTCGGTTACGTGATTCCAGTTCGCGGTTTTTCAGTTGGAATTTAGACAGTTGTGAGTCACAGTTGTCACGCTCATTGTTGCTGTCTTGTAGCTTCCTCTCCATCTCCCTCGTCTTCTGCTGGAGGAAGTCAATCTGACAACAGAAATAGACCTCTAATGATTCTGAATGAGGTAAGCAATATGAAATATATGACCTTTACACAGTCAAGGTGCTTACATATGAGATACTATGCATATGTATAGGTGAGAGACTACCTGTAAGCTCAGGTGAGAAATTACCTGCATGTACAAAGAAGAAGAATCTGTATGACAGGCTACATGTATGTTCAGGTGATTGATTACCTGTATGTTGAGGTAAGGGTTAAGGTTATTACTTATATGTAGATATAGAAGATATCAAATGTAAATTAAGGTATAAATAAAAGATATGTATGTTGAGGTGAATTATTACCTGTATGCTGAGGTAAGGCTTATTACTTGTATGTAGAGGTAAAAGATATCACCTGTGCGTCCAGGTGTGATATATACCTGTATGTTGAGGTGAATTATTACCTGTATGCTGAGATAAGGGTTATTACTTGTATGCAGAGGTAAAAGATATAACCTGTGAGTCCAGGTGTGATATATACCTGTATGTTGAGGTGAGAGATCATCCTCTCATTGGCGCGGTTCCTGGCCTCCAGGGCCACCACGTCCGAGGGTCGGCCTCCGTCTAACATTTTGGTGAGGCGCTCTATCTCATCGTCACGACCTTCAACCTACAAATCACAAAACAAGGAATATATATAAGAAAGCACTTTTCTGATGATCTTCACCAATCCCTGTGTTATAAAAATCGAAAATACATGTTCTATTTGGATAATACTTTGTATGACATGAAACAACTCCTGAAATAGTCCAAGGAGTTAGGGGGTTAAGGTCAACTCAGGCACAGTGGAATTGTGTGTGTCCAGCATCTACAGAGATGTGATACAGAATCCTAGTCATCTGTATCTATAGTCATCTCCTGAACACCAATGTTAATATCTTCTAATTATTAGATATTCAAATACAAGTATTTAACTCATTCACCCCTGAAATTTCATAATGAGCTATTCCAACCTTTGAATTGGAAGAGTTCAAATGTGTCTTCAGGGGTGGACGAGTTAAACATCAACATTATTTACATATACACTCTATTTATTTGCCATCATTGATTTTTGTGTAATATATTGATGGGAGACAGCGTTAATAAACAGAAATATCTTGTGCCTCATCCTATAGGTTCAAGTAAATAGAATACATTGAACCAATCAGCTACTAGCTTTTTGTACCCTATCAGTCAACAGTATGTCTATGACAGAACCAGGACCAGGTCCAGGGACACTAACTTGTACTTTGTCAATTCTTTGAAAATGTGTGGTATGCAAATGAAGATTTGGACGTGTGCAAGGGTGTATTACACTGTAAATCTGCCATACACCTGTATGTTAGACCAGGATTGACTCAGAATTCATAATACTTCAATCTCAAGAGGAAGGTCTACAAAGATGTTCATGTACTGGTGCGTCACCGGGGTTCTGGATTCTTTACGAGTGTGCTAATGACCAGCAGTAAGAGTCCTATAAATGACTTGAGGGTGTCCTAGCTACATTTATACAATCACCCAGTGTCATAGTAATATTTGTGCAATTTTGCTTCAGGAATATTTCGATCAGACTTTCACATCACTGTTATACTATTCAATACAGTTTGAAATAATTACTATCACAATTGTAACAAATGCGAAGTTAAACTTCAAATATCTTTTTCTTGATTATAATGAATAAAAACATCCGTAAAACACAGGCATGAAATCTAAGCATCCATACATACTAGGAAACTTCAGCCCAGTTAAATATTCTTAATTCATCAGTAAAATCTATACCCATCAAGAGTTAATTTCGCCCTTCAAATGTAGTAATTCATATCTTGTTTGCGAAAACATTTCCCCATATACAGTCCACAAAAGTACTAGTGAACATTGATAACTAGCAGTAGAAATTTTAAACGTTCTTCTGGTGTTTTTTGCCCAATCACTTTCAAAGTTTACCTAGTAAGTATTGAGTTGACACATGTGCCAGTGTACACAAACTGTGTATTATGTGGTGTTAAACTTATAACATTTAAAGGTACACAATTAGTGTGTAAAACGATAGCTTAAAAAAGTTATTATGTTGAAAACTAATAAGTTTCCTTTCTAGCTTAAATTGCAGTGACGATCGAACAATCGTTTTGTTGTAAAACGACACACCTATGTAACTCATACATGAACTGTATGGTAAACAAAATCATTTCCTCTCCTACAGTAGACCACATTAATATAGAATATGTATACCCCTTCAACTGCCTCGAGGGAGTCTATTGTGGGTTTAAGGGGATAATTCAAAGGTAAAACTTGAAACTTATCCTTATAAATGTATCGGCATGTTTCATGAAATAGTGTCGAGTTGAACCACTACAAGTTTGTAACAAAGTGTCAAATGATGTTTGTGTATTGATTTTTGAGTCATATAACTAGATAGCCATAGGAAATGTAGTTAGTTCCATCAGTCCTACAATGAGTACCTGGGGGTTTTCTGGCTCAGTAGCCATATTGTGAAACATAACTGATAAAATATGTATGGTTTCGAAATCATTCTGACAACTGCATAAAGAAGACAATGGCCTATTGTACAGGCAGCCTTCTCTTCTATACAGTAAACAGCACAGGGCTAAATCAGCCAGGTGGAAAACCAGTGTTAAATACCAGGGTACCCCCACACACACGCACAAAGTATATGGATACAAAATCAAGTGCTAACAGTAATGCTTAATGGCATTTCTATGATCAATCATAAAATGTAATTTTAAGTAGATTTGTTGTCAGTTGAATTCAAATATAAAACCAGCATGTTATGTTCATCAAAACGTCATGCTTCAGTATATATTTCCAGTTAGTTGCCTGGAATATGTCATCATGAAGATAAATATTAACACTATGAACCCCTGACATAATTCTATTAAGACTATTTCATGGCCATGAACCCATGACATGAACAAATCTATAATGACGTCACGAAGACAATATCGCTGCTATGCATCTCTGTCATGACACAATCTAAGCACTTCTACAACATATTTTCTTTCTTAACATAAACCTTCCATATCAATCAAAAATTGCTTTTTGAATATTTTTTGTTTAAACGATATCCAAATGAAATGATATTACCTGAGGTGCTCCATGGAGACGTTCACTTTTCAGGCCAGCATATACAACCTAGGTGTACTTTAGGTACGTATACTAATCAGTATAAAGTATAATGTACAGAGAGTGGGGAAAGGCCGGATCCTAGAGTCCCCGGACGTGCCTGGACAAGGTGGGACATGCCTTATATATATTCCACACACCCAATACAGTCCCTGGAGCTTTAAAACTAACTCAGCTGAATACGCGGCAGTTTTATCATGCACCCTATATACCTGTGTTATACCTGGTCTGGAACTTTAAAGGGACTCAGGCTTGATCAAGCACCATTTTTATCGAATCTCTTTACCGACTCATTGTGGAGAACTTTAATAAATTAATGAAGCAGTCTGTATGTCACACACTGGCATTGGAATTTGTGGCAGGTCTTACCTGATAACTCCCCAATCAACAGGTAAAGAGATTATAGCACAAGTAAACGTGTACACAGGACTGTGGCTAATAGACAAACTGATCAACTTAACCTGTAAGTTCACCCAAACCTGGTACCAGCATATTTTCTCCTATAAATCTTACTGACCCATTATACAACTAAATTATTGCATTGGGGACCATTTTGTCAGAAGTGAAAAATGACAACCTTGCACTACAGAAATGTATTGAATTCCTTAAAATTTGTAACTTTTTTTTCAGCTGGGTAATCCTTAAACGCTTGTCAGCAGTTTTATTTGCTGTCTGAACTTGTGCTTTGTAGCCTTTTTTTAATACAGCTTCCCTTCCATCATCTGCCCTAACGACTTCTTATTTCTGAGAGTCAATGTCAGTGAAACACATGTCTGGATAAAAATGGCAGTTGAGACACTTTAATATAATATTAGGTAACAATGTTTGATGATACTAGGGACAGTAAACATGGACTGAAACCATCGTCTCCAAACACCTGTAGCCTTAGTAATGACTCTACACACCATCTACCAATACTGGTACAGGACAGGAATGTCTTAGCAATACAGTTACATTCAAATTTATGCATTCTGATTATATGAATAACACATTCAGATACTTCCACAAACTGGCCTCATTTGAATTCTAAATAAAATCTGTTCCTAGCCTGTTTATTGACAACTACATAGGTGAGGGGATCATGCCCTGTTTGTAGAGTAGCTCAGTACATTTACTGATGTAATTTGTAGGCTACCATCATATTGGCCTTAAAATGTTCATGATTACGGTATATGTATAAACATTCATCAGAAAGGTCATACATACACATAACTAAAAGTGTGGCATATTTTCTACTCAAGTCTCAACAAAGATGCCAAATCTTCTACAAAACACTGCATGCATGAGATAGTATTTGTTGCTATAATGGTCATCAAAGTTTTCCAAAAAAGGTTTCTATGATGATGATTTTTTTCCTCAAAATTTCATCCCATGGTCCGTTTCCCCAAACACTTGATAAACCCCTGAAACCCTCCTCGTAAAGTGTAATTCCTATTTATCAAACCCTATGAGAAAGACTATACCCATAATTCAAACCCTATCAGAAACTACTTCTCCCAAGTTACGACCATCTCTTGTAAAATGTGTAGGTTTATTACCACCAGTAATACAGAGTAACAGATCATTCAAGTCTGATTGCAATGTACATTAGCTGAACACAGTTAAGGTTGGAACACTCATTGTTAAATCATTCAATATTTCTAGGCTGGGTATGGTTTACAATAGCATGACTGTATTCAGTACATGTACAATGCACATTCAATAAATCTGACTAAACTTTAAACATTGCACCTAACAATGGACAGTGGATTCCCTGACCAGAAGTATGTCTGACGCAGCGTCACTATACGTACTAAAACTAGACTTAGGTCTTCTCTCCGAGCTATACTAGGACTTTGAGGTGCTGTATACATAATTCTTGTTTAAATTCCAGTTTATGACCGTCTCTCCGAAATATAGGAATTCCTAAGAGTGGATAATGTTTTTGTGGGCATATATGTTGGACAAATATTTAAACTCTAAAGTCATAAACAAGACTTATCGAGGAGAAATAAAAGCCCAGTTAGATATTGAAAGTGGGGTCATATTATTTAAACATGGTGTACACTGTTCGGAAACAAGATATCCACTATTATACATGTATGTCTCATGACTACGGACTGAATGTTTTATTGTAGAAATAATGTCTTCTTGAGAAAGTTGCTACAATTGGTACAAGTTTAGTTGTCACTTGTGGTATAAAGTGATTATACAAAAGTTGTACTAGATAGGTCAAGACCTCCCAGACAACCAAAACTAACCTACATTTTGTACTTTTAAAATAGCAAATTTTTAATCATTTTTATTTAGACTAATGTTGAACAGGAGAAGAAAATCTATGAGCAATAACAAGTTCAGTGTATACATAGTTGAAGTTCAATTATGAAATCTTGCAAAGCAGATTCATTATTTAATAGCGAGACAAATAGTTTTTTACAAGTATCCTTTCAAAGAATTAACAATAAATATATTGACCACATTGATGGTATATATACAATTCTGAACTTCAAA